TGCCTTTGCAGAGTCAATAAAACACAGGTAAACATCTTTCTGGTATTCTCTGCTTTCAGCCAGGATCCATCTAACATCAGCAATGATATCTCTTGTTCCAAGTCCTCTTCTGAATCTGGCTTGAATTTCTGGCAGTTCCCTGTCGATGTACTGCTGCAACTCTTTTTGAATTATCTTTAGCAAAATTTTACTTGTGTGTAATATTAATGATATTGTTTGATAATTTTCACATTCTATTGGATCATCTTTCTTTGAAATGAGCACACATATGGATCTCTTCTAGTCATTTGGCCAGATAGCTGTCTTCCAAATTTCTTGGCATAGACGAGTGAACACCTCCAGCGCTGCATCCATTTGTTGTAACATCTGAATAGGTATTTTGTCAATTCCTGGAGCCTTGTTTTTTGCCATGCCTTCAGTACAGCTTGGTCTTCTTCCTTCAGTAACATTAGTTCTTGATCACATGCTACCTCCTGAAATGTTGAGCGTTGACCAGTTCTTTTTGGCACAGTGACTCTGTGTATTCCTTCCATCTTCTCTTGATGCTGCCTGTGTTGTTTAATATTTTGCCCATTGACTCCTTCAATATTGTAACGCAATGCTTGAATTTTTTCTTCATTTCTTTCAGTTTGAGAAATGCTGAGTGTATTTTTCTTCCCTTTTGGTTTTCTAAATCCAGGTCTTTACACATTTCATTATAATACTTCACTTTGTCTTCTCGAGATACCTTTTGAAATCTTCTATTCTGCTCTTTTACTTCATCATTTCTTCCTTTCACTTTAGCCACTCGATGTTCAAGAGCAAGTTTCAGAGTCTTTTTTGACATCTATTTTGGTTTTTTCTTTCTTTCCTGTCTTTTTAATGACCTTTTGTTTTCTTCATGTGTGATGTCCTGATGTCATCCTATAACTCCTCTGGTCTTCAGTCATTAGTATTCCATGTGCCATATCTATTACTGAGATGGCCTCCAAATTCAAGTGGGATATACTCAAGGTTGTATTTTGGCTCTTGTAGACTTGTTTTAATTTTCCTCAGCTTCATCTTGAACTTGCATATGAGCAATTGGTAGTCTGTTCCTTAGTAGGCCCCTGGCCTTGTTCTGACTGATGATATTGAGCTTCTCCATCATCTCTTTCCACAGACATAGTCAATTTGATTCTTCTGTTTTCCATGTGGTAAGATCCACATGTATAGTCACTGTCTTAGGCTGGGATCTCTAGAGAAGCAAAACCAGTAAAGCATATAAATGTATATAGAGATTTATATCAAGGAAATGGCTCACTCGATTGTAGAGGCTGGAATGTCCCAAGCCCATGGATCAGGATAGAGGCTTCTCCTGATTCATGTAACTGCAGGGGCTGGTGAACCCAAGATCTGCGGGTCAGAGAGTAGGGCACTTACTCACAGGCTGTGAAGCTCAACAAATTCTAAAATTGACAGGTAAGCTGCTAGCTCAAGTCCCAAGAACCGAGGGTCAGATGAACAGGAGGCAGCTGCAGGATCCCGAGCAGGTAATAGCCAGAACGTCCACTCATATTCCGATGCAGGCCACATGCCCAAGGAAACTCTCTTTCAACTGGATAGCTATGCATAGCAGATCCCATCATGGGCGTGATCACATATAAACACTGAGAATCATGGCCCAGCCAAGCTGACACACAATCTAAACCATCATGGTCACTGTTTATGTTGTTGAAGAAACGTATTTGCAATGAAGAAGTCGTTGGTATTGCAAAATTCTATCGTGGGATCTCTGGCGTCCTTTCTATCACCAAGGTTATATTTTCCAACTACCAATCCTTCTTGTTTCTAAGTTTTGCATTCCAATCACCAGTAATTATCAATGCATCTTGATTGCATGTTTGATCAATTTCAGACTGCAGAAGTTGGTAAAATATTCAGTTTGTTCATCTTTGGCATTAGTGGTTGATGTGTAAATTCAAATAATAGTCACATTAACTTGTCTTCCTTGTAGGCATTTGGATATTATTCTATCACTGACGGTGTTGTACTTCAGGATGGATCTTGAAATGTTCTTTTTGACGACGAATGCAACACCATTCCTCTTCAATTTGTCATTCCCAGCATAGTAGACCATATGATTGTCTGATTCAAAATGGCCAATAGCAGTCCATTTTAGCATGCTAATGCCTAGGATATTGATCTTTATGCATTCCATTTCATTTTTGATGACTTCCAATTTCCTTAGATTCATGCTTTGTACATTCTACGTTCCAATTATAAATGGATGTTTGCAGCTGTTTCTTCTCATTTTGAGTTGGGCCACATCAGCAAATGAAGGTCCTGAAATCTGGACTCCATCCACGTCACTAAGGTCAACTCTACTTTGAGGAGGCAGCTCTTCTTCAGTCGTATTTTAAGTGCCTTCCAAACTGAGGGGCTTATCTTCTGGCACTATACCAGACAGTGTTCCACTGCTATTCATAAGGTTTTCACTAGCTAGTGTTTTCAGAAGTAGACTGCCAGGTCCTTCTCCCTAGTCTATCTTAGTCTGGAAGCTCTGCCGAAACCTGTCCACTGTGGATGACCCTGCTGGTATTTGAAATACCGGTGGCATAGCTTCCAGCATCACAGCAACATGCAAGCCACCACAGTAAGACAAACTGACAGACAGACATGGTGATCTAGGAGGTTAGAAGTCTGAATTCAGAGTGCAGGCGTTAGGAGAAGACTTTCTGTTTCTGTTGGTTCTGGAGGAATGGCTTTTGCTCTTCAGCTTCTGCTTCCTGGTTCCTTGGAGATCTCCATGTGTCTTGGCATCTATCTTACCCAATCTCTGCCTGCTGGTTTGCTTATTTTAATCTCTTTTACATGTCAGAAGAGATTGACCCTAGGGACACACCCTACACTTATCATGTCTCATTAACATAGCAAAGACAACCATTCCCGAATGGGATTATAGCCACAGATGTAGAGGTTAGGAATTGCAACACATATTTTTTGGGGACAGACTTCAATCCATAACACCTATCAATGCTAGAACATGACGACTGATGGATCTGAGTGTTGGGTGACCCCTTTATACAGAGTGTATGGTCGCCCTTTATCACCATACTTTTCCCTGGGTCCTTCCAGTGGAAGTATTTATATTACTGCCAGGCCTGTATGGGCATTTCATTTTGACACTTGACCTCGAGTAAGTAAAGGATAAATAAATGATTGTCTCCTCCACCCAAGGTGGATATATAAAACGTACTTGAGTAGAGCTGTCAACTTCTCCGTTAGACTCATGTGACTAACCTCTTGTCTGTTTTAAAATTCTTTTGGGATGTCCTTTTCTTCTACTATCTAAAGTAAGAAAACATTTTATAATTTTAGCATTTGTTCATGTCAAACAGAATTAGAAAATTAAATTCATTACCGGATCACATAAAACATTCCAAAACTGAATCTGAATGAATTAATTGCTTCACATTACCTATTTGTATCTCTGATCCCCGATATTAGATGAGAAATGGAGAGCCAAATGCTTGTAGTTTTCTGTCCGTGCAGCTTTGTTAATTTGCTCACTTCAGTGTTAAATGCTGACATTCAAGGAAAATGAAAAACATTTATATAGAAGTGTATTTTGTGAATCACTTGGGATTGCCATTATTGATATCATGTCTCCTGCTTAACAGATAGTAATCATAGAATAAACTTTATTCCTTATACTTGCACACTTATATTCATACAGGCCTGGCCTTAATGACAGTTGAAGCTTTTTCTTTATTTTTTTAGTGCTGTTTTAGGTTTACTGGAAAATTCTGCAGAAAATATGCTGAATTTCCATATACTGTCCTTGCCCCTGCACATTCTGTCAAAGTTAATTTTGTTTTTCTCAATGAAGGGCTTTGACTTTTTGGGAAGATTGTATAAAGAAGCATCCATGTTAAAGGATTCATGATAAAAGTATCATGGCTATAACCAAGGCCTTATTTTTATTTTATTTTATTTTTTTAACATACAGTGTTATGAGACCCCCAACTGCTCACCCCATTCTGCGGCAGCACACTCCTCCCCTCCGTCCCTGATTCCCCATGAACGTTCAACCAGCTCCTAACTCTCTCTGCCTTCCCCTCTAACCTCTGGACAGAAGCTGCCCCTTTGGTCTCTCATATCTACTCAACTAAGAGGCACATTCTTCACGAGTATCACTTTATGTCCCACAGTCCAGTCCAACCCCTGTCTGAAGAGTTGGCCTCGGAAATTGTTTTAGTTCTGGGATGATGGAGAGACCAGGGGCCATGCCTTCTGGGGTGCCTCCAGTCTTAGTCAGACCATTAAGTCTGGTCTTCTTAGTAGTAGTTGAGTTC